AACACTACCTCTTAGCCTATGCGCATAACCAAGTAATGTATAGTAATGTAATAAAAAGAACCCCAGTAACATAAAACGCATTTCGTAAACTCTAATTAAGATATTATAATGGAATATTATTGTTATAATTATGTTAAGTAGTGATTAAAACTATTTTAAATATACTTATATTAGTGCTAGATTCACTTATAATTTAACTATGTATTCAAGTCTTTTTTAATCTAACGATCTAATCTATTCAGGTTATGTGAAACTTTGATGCTGATAAAATAATTTGAGAAACTGATAGCCTAGTGGTAATGCGCTCGCTTGGAAAACCGAGTGAAGCGAGTTCAAATCCCGGGGTCTCGCACCTCTGATATTCTCATGTGCGAATTATTTTCAACAGGATTACCACACTGTCTGTGTGAGTGATTACTACTGTGTCACTTGAGGGAAAGCATCGAGAGGAAACCTGATCCCCCTCGTATTGAAGGGAGACTCGTTCCCAGCTGTAGGACGTTATAAAAAAAGGGTTAAATACAAATAATTTGATACAATCGAGCTGATCACAAATCATTATGGAACTTTAATGGCCTTTGCTAAGCCCTTCGAATTTGAGCTCATATGCTTCGTTATTTTTAAAAGTATAATTAATTACTATATAGCTATTTAGGACAAATGTAATTCAATCTTGCCTAATCAATGTTCCGTATATAACACTAAGGTATCGTATTTTGCCACAATCAATGAAGCAATCGTTTACTTTGTACTTGTAAAGAAAAGGAGTTATGGTATTATCTTTTATTACAAATGCTCGCTCAGTGGTCGAAATTTGACCATATTCTTTTTTTTTATTGGTATAACTAAAGGCTCGATAATAACTACTAAACTAAAAATAATCGATTGATAAACGGAGGAGAAAAAGATTGTTTTATCTTTGCCTATTTATATAAAGATTATTCATTAGACCTTTTTTTACATCCCACAGCTAGGCGTGAGCATCATTACAATTCTATTCATACTAATACTCTGACAAAATGTGGGTTGGCAAACTTAGAAAATTAATTGGCTTTTCTCAGAAATGCAGATTTCTTCACGATGATTTCCTTCAGCATACTGGCAAGATTAAAGGAAGATGCAAAGCTCGGGCTCGAACCCACTTCACTTGGTTTTACAACCGAGTACATTACCAATGGGCTATTAGATTCAGTATACTGAAATATATATTACGACATGAGTGAGATACTCACATTAACCGTTAATTAGCAATCTGGCCTCACATTGTGCAAACGACAATGACATGTAAAACCGAAAGTTCTAGTTAATTACAATGTATATTTTAACTAATAGCGACCACTTTACTTCAGTCACGTTGTGTGAGCGTGTGTGTCTCCTTCACGCCGATACGGCTTGATGGATTTCGATTTTTATTCAGTAAATAATAAGGTCCTTTTGACCGATTTCAGCCATAGCACTAATATTAGCCATCTACGCAGGACATTTTATAGGGCACGAGTGTGTACGCAGACACAAGTGCACTCTCTATTCCTGTCACTCTCAAACTCCGATAGGAGGATAATTTGACACAATCGGTGAGAGATCAGGCGCTGAACCGACGGCCTTACTTACTCTTCAAGTCACGGGGGTGAATGGAACACCGCAAACTTCCCAACTCCGGGCTGTTACTGAGAAATTTTTAACGGAAAAATTTACTAACTGAAATTGACCCTACCCGGGACTCGAACCCAGCTGCTCCTGATCTGCTGTACACGCTAGCCACTAGACAACCGAGGCAGTTAATTCAGTACATTCATATATAGACTAGGCCCTGAAGTAACACATAAGCGAATGTTTGTATTAAAAATGCCGAAGTGTGGCGCTGACTCTTTATCCATATCTATACTTTTTTAATGTTATAAATGTAAAAGTTTGTTCGTCTGTCTTTCTTTCACGTCGAAACATAATGACGGATTGGCGTGATTTTTTGTATGGAGATTCTTGGAGGGCTATTTTTTACCGCGGTAGATTATCTCATTCCCCCAGGAAACCACGTTATAATACAACCCACAACAACTCATCATACCTATGTACATATCATACCTATGTATGTATCCTACTAATATTATAAATACGAAAATTAGTGAGGATGTATGGATGTATAGATGTATGTTTGTTACACTTTCACGCAAAAACTATTGAATGGATTTTAATGGAAGTTTACAATACAATAGATGAGTAAAGATTAGTGGTCTCTTTTCGCTAAAATCTCAACAACTTGTGTGATTACGTCATCATACTTACAGGAATGGAGCGAGATAGAAAAGTATACTATCTCCCTCTACGAGTCAAGTAGCCTACGTGCATGCCTTCACGAACCGTTGTTCATAACGAGTTGAAAAGTTAAATCGTTTAAAACTATGCAAAAATAGCCTAATAAAACCATCTTTTCGGACTTTTTTCTCTGTTTAATTTTGAATTTTGGTTTCCGATGTTTCGAATGCTTAACAGCCCTATTTTAAGTTCTTGTGGGTTATTCAAATCTTAAAAGTTATTTAATGTCGAAATGATGGACATGTCCGATATGTAATAAACCGACAGTTCGATAGTAGTATGTTTTTGTGTTATTTTTTTTTTCAATGAATAGATTATACGTCAAGGATGTTACATATACATTTCAAAATTATCTACCCACGAGGCCAGAATAATTACTTTCTAAGTGATTTTAAAGGCTGTTATGCTTTACATAAACGATACCTTTTTTGGAAAAATATTTGTGGCGAAACACCTAAAGAGTTTTTGTGTATCAACTTGTTTCGCTCGATTCGATTCAAAATTATAGAAGTCAAGTTGTTTATGTTTGTCAAAGATTTTTACTACGTTTCGTTGTATTATGTTTATGTATATATTTTTATACCAATATAATATTCAAATTTGGAAAGTTATACTTCGTTTGGCACGTTTGGAAAAAAGTAATTATGAGAATAAAATTTTTACGATGCGCGCGCACACTGACAGCCAAAAAGCGATATGATGAAGTTAGCTGAAAGCGACATGATGAAGTAAGCTGCATTCCTTTTACAAACAGAGAGTTGTGACATACGGGATGAAATCTTTGCTATTTTTGTTCTGTTACGCCAAACAAGTATAACTTCTTACGTGCGTACATAAGTAAACGCACGTTTTTTCCTTTATTACAACTTCAGTACAAACTTTCTTACTTAATTATTTCAATTGGTAAGATAATTCATATACCGAGTTTCAACTTTTACATATATACATATATTATAGTATATATAATTATATATACATACATTTAAATAAAGATTTTGCTTGTTTAATATTTAATCTTATATTTCAGCTTCACTTTCTATATTTTATTATATAATAAATAGAAATATAAATGTTTGTTTGTGTTAAACTTATCAGTTGCTTTGGATATCTATACAAATAAATGAAATTGAAGTGTCTGTTTGTAATATCAAAATAACAGCTTTTTACTAATACATATGAAATTATAACCAATAGCTACTTATAAGAAAAATATTTTTTTTATATTTTTGTTTATCTGTCTTTCTGTGTCTGTCAGTCTAATGTTATAAGGAATAACTTAGGCAACTTTTATTTTAGAAAAACTAGAGTTCCAAGCACCCGTACTAAGTCGCTACTATGTAATAAGTTCATATTTATCCGGATTATTGTTACTCTACTGGATGGCGCTGCTAAGCATTTTACGCAGGTAAAGCCATGTGTAAACCATAGTAATAAATAAATTCATTCTGGATGAGACATTCTGGATGAAAATTATCTTAAGAAACATATATGTAGTCTTTACCCCGACTACTTATTTAGTATGTACGTTAAATACTAAAATTCCGGAACAATGTAACTCCATTGTCTGCTACTATACTTGAATTAGATATATGTATGTAGATAGGCACGCCTTACGCCATTCACCGATTTGAAACGGTCTAATTTATGAGCGGAAGCGGAAAATATAGCAATTTTGTTGGTAAACTATAACAAAAAAGTAATCATATAAAATCATCAAAAATTTGCGCTTACCATAGCAGTTGGTAGGCCAAAGACTCTTTTTTAATGTTAGGAAATGCATTTACGCATACCATTTGTAGACATACATATGGAACTCACCGGCTAGAAAAGCCAGTACTACCCACTAAAACCCTACAAAACCTCCCCCGTTCTAATGGGTCTATGCAGGATCGCTTACGCACACAACCACGAAACACCGACGGTAGGTCTGCGAAGCAGACTACAACATTCATGGGGTTGCTGCAACGATCCACTTTGCCGTCAGAGAAGTACCAGGAGCAAACCGCATGCTACACCGCCCACCGAAGTGGCCACCTTCCTGTGCGTTTCTTAGCTTCGCGCCCGGCTGGGTGGTGCTCCCAAAGTAGACATCCCATCGACTGGCCCAAGTTTGGGACCATTAAAGTAATCTCACTATTGTTATATATTACCAAACTTTGTATCTCTCATATTTTTATCAAAATCTGTTCTGTGGTTTTCTCGTGATGCGGCTACAAGCAGACAGACAAAAAATCTAAAAACTATAGATTCGGCCTCTGTATCGATAATTATCACTATTTCAATAAGATATTCCAAAAAATATTTAATGTGATGTTCCCTAAAAAAGCGAGGGTTAGTCACTAGTAAATAAATATAAATAAAAGCTTATTTTAAAAAAAGGCTTTCATTTTGTAAAATTGTTGAGCTTGAACGTATTCTAATAAGTCTATTCATCTATCAATGCTCTAGATGATAGTCTTGACATTTACATATATGTTATAAGTTATAACACTTCGCATAAACGATTTTCCCACGTTATAATTGATATATTGTTATTGATACATTACTCAGTGTAAATATTTCAGTCTATTAGTCAATTTATACTGCCTTCCTATATACGAGTATTTTTCTTGCAACATAAATTGAAATCTGTATAAATATTAAAAAAAGGGAATCGTCTGTCGATTTAGTTTTCATCTGAGGCATTACAGCCGTCTTCTTCGCTCCTTATACTCTTCTCTACGCCTGCGAGTGTACTTCTGTTGCATTAAACTGTACGCATCACTTTTCTCATTAGTGACCCTCTGACATTCATCATCAAACCAGTAATTACGCTTCAGTTTTTCCTCAAATCCAAATCTCACCAGCAGCCGTAGATAAAACATCCCTAAGATTCGCCAGGTACTATCAGAATCGCCAATGCTGTTGCTATCTATCAAAATATGGTCTATTTGGGGTGACGTTATCTGCGGAGACCCAAGTTATCTTATGGATATTCTTGTGTGGAAAGCGTGTGCTGCCGACGACCATTCCTAGGGAAGTTGCCAAATCAATGAGGCTGTGTTTGAAATTTACCTTTAAGTCTGATTTTACACATACGTTCATTAATTGGTTGGAAATCAATTACAAGATGTTTTAAGCGTTTGCTCACGACGAAACCCGTTCCAAAGATATGATGCTTTTCATTACAACTATAATATATGGCGAAATCTATCAATAACGCCATGTCCTAACCATCTAAGTTCCTGAACCGCTGTTATATCAGCCCTGTGATGCAAGTTGTTGACATAAAAGTTGAAGCCGCTGGTCTGTACAGTGTTCTCACGTTCCATGTACATAAGGTAAATTCGTTAGCCATTATTGAGTAGCCAGGTCGTTGGTTTAAAATCCGGTCCGTAAGTTTTGCTTTTCCTTTCACAATCGTTTGTGTTCAGACGAGTGGGTGATTAACCCCCTGCGTCCTAGGCCTTTAGTGGGGCTGCCACTTTTGAGCTCAAGACCTAGCTCCGTTTATTTTCGGGTATCGTCCCTTCCGAGGTTGAACCAGTTTTAAGGCGCCGGTTGCTCGCCTTCGCCCTTTGTCCTTAGCATCTGCGCTCTGAGAAAGGGATGGTGATCGTACTTAGAGTACGGGCGCAGAAGGTCCCAGGGGGTACGACGGGGACGTGGACAGATCGGACTGGTTGGTACCTGCATACTTGTACTCCACCATCAAAGCACTGCAGTCAGAAGACGGGCTTTTTATAGAAGACACTAAGCTCGGGTCTTAGCGCCCCCACCCATACCCAATACCAACTTCACCCCCCCGATTTAGTTTTAGTTAGATAATAATTGGGTCTAACCTCATTGGTCTAGTAGCGAGCATATATGGTTGCAGATCGAAAGGTGTTAGAATTGATTCGGGTCTCGGGTCGGGCCGAAATTGTTACTGGATTTCTATGATGAAATACTCGGCGGCTGCCCACACTTGAGAAGTTAGCTATGTATGAACCTTCGTGCCCAAAGAGCACGTTAAGCTTGTCGGTTATACGCTTTATTGACCGAGAATTTGTTGGTTAATATTTATCAGGTTAGATGTCGTGACCGATATCGGTCAGGAGGGCTTTATTTCCAAGCTGGTCTATTCTTTTATAACATATAAAAATAATTAGAATTAGCTTTAAAGCTCTTAAAAAACACATAATCAGTTTTTTACTAGATATCAAGATTTTTCATTTATTACATATAAACGTACAACAAAAAGCATATAAACGAACAAGGTACAATGTACATATATTTCCTTATAACAGTGTAGATATAATTTTATTGTTTAACCGTCTATCTGGTCTGCCTTCCTGTAAATTAGATTGACCACGTCATGTTTTATGACATTCACTTGTATGACGGATGGTATAACTTAAAAGCTTTCGGTTTAAGAACTAGATATATTAACCTTTAATATTTTTAGGCCTCATAATAAACACTCACTCACTCTAGTACTGACTGAAGTTATCGGGTTCGAATTCTGCGCATATTGGGTACTTTTTGATTAGAGTAGCGTGTATTTGAGTATCAGGAACTGTGTATTTCACATCGCTCTACTTCTAATGTAAATTCTATAAACGAAGCCTATTTTGAATTCAGAATTACAAATGTACCTGGTGAAGCCCTTTTAGCCATTATTCTTGGCTTCCAAATAAATAAAGTCACAACTTACTCTTCATCAAATAATTTCTACAAAGTAACAATTGATTCTATTCTTTGACTCGTAAAAATTGTTTCCTCAATCATTTAAAATAATTAATTTATTCATATCCGTTTCCAGTACAAAAACTCTTTTAATACATAATTTATTTTAAATTAATTAAGCACTTTATATTATATACAAAGATAATAAACAGACAGATTCTTATGCATTTATAATATTAGTTGTGCAATAATAAAATCAATTATAATAATTTTTTATCTATAAAAGGTGACTGTCATAACGCTCACGCTTCCGCGTATGCCCGGAACCACCTTTCACCTACATACCTCGCCACGGCCACCGAACAATGTTATAAGTTCGTATAACACGACCTCGATAGGGACATAGAAAATTTTAAACTCGATGTTCGACTAATTAATTTTTCTTAAGTTAATTCTTTTATGACTTTTCTTAGTAAGATAGTAAGATACATATAAAATATCGGCTAATAATTAATTACATATAATCAATAATAATTATGTTTGAACCATATATACGCCCCATAGCTGTGGGGGTTCATTTCCCTTTAATGGAAAAGAAATATAAGTGCGGGTTGGTGGACTTCACATTTCATTAACTATACTTACTGCCTTTAATATATAATTATACTTTAAAAAAACATTACCCACGCTTTTGCGAACTGTAATGACTCGTACATTATTATCAAGTGCCATACATTGTTGATTGTTCCATACAAATAAATCATTTAATGAGCCCGAAGGTTTTACTAATAGCCATTGTAAAATTTTACTGTACGAGTAGTACAGCGAAACTCTACGATGATAATGACATGTACACACCTATTAGTCTTACTCCTATCATCGAAACTGCTTAATAGTATCAAATTATTATATTGTCGTCTCAATTTCAAGTACGTTATTATATAATTTCACTTACAATCATTTCATATTTATAACAAACGTCGCTAGCTTGATTTCCAATTCAAACTTTCATCCCCGTTTTCACCCCCGTAAGGGATAATTTCCGGGATAAAAAGTATCCTATGTCCTTCCCAGGGTCTCAAACTATCTTCTTACATTTCATCTAAATCGGTTCAGTAGCTCCAGAGTTTACCCCTTACAACGTTACAAACTCACAAACTTTACCTCTTTATAATATTAGTATAGATTGAATAGGTTAAAATTGACTTCAGTACATTTAAAATCTAAGATTTCACTTCATATATAAAAGTTGCCTGGAGAAAATCGCTCACTTAGCGATAAGGCCGCCTGTTGTGCTATTTCTTTTTTAATATATGTACAATGTACATATATAAGCCATGTAAATTTTTCGGTGTGCAATAAAGAATATTTGATTTGATTCATATTTAGTACAAGTGAATCTTATATAAATAGGCAAAGAAAAACATTTCAATACGTTTTTCTCCTCTGTTTGTCAACCGTTTTTCTTTTAATTTTTTTTTGTTTATAGCCATTGTCAAGCATTAATTTTATTCATCTTTACAAACAAGCTTCAGTTGTATCAACAACAAATAATACGGTGGAATTACGAACACTGCGTGAACGTCAGTATTAATTTTTAGTTTTTTTTTAAATTGTTAGGTACTAACTTAGGAATAGACTATCTTAATATTTTTTTATGAACTATGTTTACGTTTTTACAATAGGATTCCAGAATTTTTTGAGAAAAATCTGTTACAACATACAAATATTTAAAAATAGTTTATGGCCTTTACGTGAAGACGTAATCATAAGCATTTTCGACATATTTAGAATAGACTTGTTTTTGTTGATAGTGAAACGAGTTTCACTTCATTATTTTCTTAAAGAAAAGAATGTATAACTCATAGGTACCAAAATTTTTATCCCTCAAGGAGATTGTGCTTGTACATTGGCACTGAACAGGAATCGAACCTTTACCTCTGAAAATAAAAATACATCAACAGCCAAAACGTCACACGTAACGTATGTGTCACCACCTTTTACTTTTATTTCATCATGTCATCAGATTATATAAACTAAGTAGACTGATGTGGATCACATTGTTAACAAACGATTGTTCTACGTGATAATATGTTATTCAATAAGCTTTAGGTATTGAGGAGAATAAAATTGCCTTCAATTCTAGATGAAATATCGCTATACATACTCTACGTTAAAAAATAATTGAATTTAGAGTGTCAAAAATATGCATAGAATAAATTGTTCTCATACTAAATTCATGTCACTTTTTGCATTTTTTAAGTATAGTACTAGCGAAATTTTAAGTCTTTTAGAGTTACGTTTAGTATAGATTTTTAAAGATGAGATATTTTCTTGCAATATAAAGTATCCTATATGTTTACACGGATAACCAGCTACCATCATACCAAATTTCATTAAAATTTATCCAGTGGTTTTCTCGTGATGCGTTCTCAGACAGACAGACAAAAATTCTAGAAACTATAGATTCGACCTCTGATCGATAATAATGACTGTTTAAATAAGATTTTCCAAAAAATATTTAACGTACAGAATCGACTCAGAATTTTATTATAGATATTTATTTTGATCGATATATGCTATAGCGAATAATTGTAGTTGTGGAATGTAAGTGCACTTTCTGTCCCTTTCACTCTCAAACTACGGTAGGACGACAATTTGACACGACCAGTGAGGACGGCTTTATGATCTATCCGAGCCAAAATCCAAACTCTTGGCTGCTATTTAAAATTTCTTGACAGTAAAACCTGATAACTTTATTAGCTCAGGTCTCGAACACAGGATGAGGACCTACTGTCTTATACATGTACGAGTAGATACTTTAAATATGTGAAAGTAAGTAATATTGTCGCAAGTTTATTATGAAACTCGATTTTCCTTCCATTTAAATAAATTTTCACTACTATTAAAAATGTTAAATTTATGTATGTTTCTTACTTTAGTATGACCTTAAGTATCACATAGACTGCTGTTACTAATCAAATTTTCAAAATAGTGGCACTATCTGTATATAATACTAGCGGCTCACTCTCGCTTCGCTGAGGTTCGCCTATAGAAAAACAAAAACAAATCTATTCCTCGGGAACCATATATTTTCCGGGATTAAAAGTAGCCTATGTGTTATCCAGACTATGATCTATCTCTGTGCCAAATTTCAACCAGATCCGTTCAGCCGTTCTGACGTGAAAGAGTAACAAACATCTATATTCAAAAACTTTCACATTTATAATATTAGTATAGATAAGACAAAAGACACCTAAGAATTCATCCGAGTCAAACAAAGGTATGTCAATAGTTTTCTTTTCTTTTCTAGCGCTACATAAGTCCAAAAATATCACCATTTAGTTACATTACTCTAAATTATAAGAGCAAATAAAAGTACCAACGTTGAATTTAAAACTGTTGCGTAATAGAAGGCCTTCAAATCTTTAATATAC